CGCATGCGTCATGACAACTAATTTGACATTTTCTGTTTCAGTATTGTTCGACATTTCATCATAGAAAGACTTAGTCCAGCACAGCGTCTACAAATAATTCAGCTGTACTACGAAAATCACGTTCTTCGAGAAGTGTGTTTCGTGCACTTAGAACAACTTATGTTGTACATAATCGGCCCACCGAACGCACAATTCGCCCTACGGTCGAAAAATTTGAAACCCAATTTTCATTATTGGATAATACCGACCAAATAGACCACATCCAACACACAGTGAAGAAAATATAGCTGCGGTAGATGAGAGTATACGTGAGGACCGTGAAGAATCGATTCGGCGCCGTTCTCAACAGCTTGGCTTGTCGAATTCAACAACTTGGCGTATTTTACGTAAGAATCTTAATTTAAAACCATACAAAATTCAACTTGTTCAAGAATTGAAGCCGGTCGACCTTCCAAAGCGTCATCGTTTCAGTCTGCGGGCTCTTGCACGGCTTGAAGAAGATCCGATGTGTTCGAGCAATCTTGTTTAGCGATGAGGCCCATTTTTGGCTTAACGGCTACGTTAATAAACAAAACTGTCATATTTGGGGTGAAGAACAACCCGAAGTGGTTCAAGAGCTGGCATTACATCTAGCGAAAACAATGGTTTGGTGTGGTTTATGGGTCGGTGGAATCATGGGTCCCTATTTTTTTAAAAATGAGGCCGGTCAGAACGTAACTGTGAATGGTGCTCGTTACCGCGCCATGATAACGGATTATTTGCTGCCTGAAATTGAAGCCTGTAATCTCGATGACATTTGGTTCCAACAGGATGGCGCCACTTGCCACACAGCCCGTGCAACCATGGCTTTATTGCGGAAACATTTCGATGAACACTTAATTTCACGATTTTGACCACCTAGATCATGTGATAACACACCTCTTTGGGGGTACGTTAAGTCTAAAGTCTACATTGATAATCCCAATACGATGGAGGAATAAGAAGCCAACATTACGCAGGTCATTCGCCAAATTCCAGTCGAAATGCTCCAACGTGTCATCGAAAATTGGAACTTTACAATGGACCATCTCAACCGCAGTCAGGCCAACATTTGAAAGAAATAATATTTAAAAAATAAATGTCAAAAATAGTTCTTTTCTTTAATAAAGAAGATATGACAAGAAAAAAAGAATTTTGTTATTTTATTTTGTTGCTGAAAAAAGTACCTATAAATGAATCACCCATATAACAGCTTTAGCCTAAAATGACATGCATGTGTCTATGAGTAGACACACATTTTTGTATACATCATTGAATTTTAAATGTGCTGCTTATTTTCAGTTTCAGGCTCGTTTATATATGTCTCCGTTTTTATTTCTTGCGAAATAGATTTTTGAGGATTTATGTTACTAATTGCAGAATAGCTATTAATACTTTAGAGATCAATACTAATTTTAGCCTCAGCCATTTAAAATCATCAGGGGGAGAACTTACCGCTGATTTGGCAGCAATATACTCATTCTGCACTAATACATTATTGTAAGTATAAATTGACATAATGAGGCTCATGGGTCTAGCGGCAGAGGTCACTTAGAGATTCTGCAGAGGTCATGTTGCAACCTCAGTGTCACTTCGAAGGCCTCGTAAAGCTTAGACTTCAGATATTGACAATCCCAAATCGAACAGTGGAAAGCTATACGCAAAGCCCTGTGGAATCTGATTAAATGATCAAGGCTAGACATAGAGCTCTAGACAGTGTATGTGTGGATCCACAACTGATCCGTACGAGTCCCAGTGGCGCTTCAGCTCACAGGTTAACCCCTCTTCTGTAATTTAATCTTATCTAGTCTAGCAGATTATGACCCTTAAAGGTCTAAAATACTCTTGTAAAGCGAGTTGGTTCTACCTATCTTTGAATTTGAAATTTTAATTAAAACACTGGACCTTGCAATAATTCAGTATTGAGAACGAACAAAAAAATGTTCTATTGAATAACGGCTCACGATAGAAATGATCATGCAGTAAATTGTACTTTCATGTTTTGGTTGACTCACCTGTACGGTATCTTTGTCAAATTTATAGGGGTTATTTGGCCCATCGTTGTTCCTTTTATATCCCATGCCACTGTTCAGATTAAGTCCCTTCCACGTCAAAATAAATTAGAGAGTTACAAAAAATCGATTACGTGAAACATTATTTATTTCCAAAAAATTTTATGTGGAATCGTAACCTATTATCCTTGCTTATAGACTATAGAAAATTCAAAATTCTTGTAGCCGGTTAACAAATAATCTTTAGGATAGCTCAAAATTAATAACCTGCTCAAATATTTATTTTTGTCATTTGTAAAATTTATTATAACCACTTATTCACCACTACGTCTAAGGAACATTTAGAACAAGCATTCATGGTTTAAATTCAAGTTATAAGAGCCCCTTATTCATACCAAGACATCACACAGCCATATTTCAGCAATCTTACCCATATAGCGCCGCTAATATTTATTCTCTAATTCAGACTTTTTTATATTTCAAAATATTGATTGATTGGCCAATGACTAGACTCCACCATTTGCATCACACTTTTGTGTTGTAATGCTAATGATGCAATAAAGACTTACATCATTATTAAAAATAATATTTTCAAGTCGTCTTCCTTGTGAGAAACAACAGTGACATTTTTTATCTTCCAGCATGTGGCATATTTTCACAAATCATGGGTACATTCTGTGCTGCTACGAACGCCTGACGCACCAAGTATTTGAAATATTTGCAAATATGCTTGGTTATTACTAGTGAAAGGCCAAGTTGTATGACTGAAAAAATACAACAAACCCGTCAAAAATCTGTAGGAGAAGATCAGTGGATTACCGACAACTGTTGGTAGATGCAACCAAAGACTTGTAAGATGATTTCCAGTTCGCCGTAAAATAGTGTATGTTATAGAATTTACCACCGTAAACGTATACAGGGTGTGAAGTTACTAGTGGATCAACGAAAGTCAGGTCATAGAGGGCCGCAAAACCTATCGAATGGAGGCCTATATGTGTGGTCCGAAATTTTATAGTTCAGGAGATAATTGCAATTTTGTGAAATTTCGAAAAAAACGGGATAATGCACTTTCAATCGCAATTGTTTTTTTTCTGTAATGATCTAAATGGTTAGTTTTAGGTTATGTCACTTTTTAACCCTCCATCGTTCGCACCGTCAGAAAAAAATTGAAATTACGCGCCTTAGCAGGCCCACCATCTAGGAATTCTTCTTCAAACTAATCTACTATGCGAATCTGTGGTCGTCGGGAGGAGCTATTTCCTTCTAGTGCCGCAATCGCATAATGTTAGTTCCAGTCTAGCACGCGAGTGATGGCGTTCGGCCGCGGGTTAGATAAAATCTAACGACGCGAGTGACGGCGTGTGTCAAATTTTCGGATTTCTGGATAAACTATCCTTAGTAAATTTGTTATAACTAGTGGCCCGGTAAGTTTTATTGTTTTATGAATCATTTTCAACTTATCAAATACCTTTTTTCAGTATAGCTATGGATGAAAAAATTCAAAAGCAGTGGATGCAATGTTTGAAGAGACTCAGGCTGACGAAGAGTTGATTGGTTCCGATAATGATCTGAGCGATCAACCTTCAGAGCATAATGAGAATAACACAGATACAGAACAGTCTGGAGATGAAACAGTTGGGATATTTCCTGAATCTCCAGAGATCTTGACTGATGGTATACCTAAATTTTACGGAAAAGATGAAACACATTCAAACAAATACCACCTGCACCCAAAGGCAAGCCCATAATCTTGTTACAAAACTGCCTGGAGTAAAAGGTTATGCAAAAAATGCAAAAACCATAATAGACTGCTGGAAGTTGTTTGTTACAGATACGATGATAAATGATATTGTAAAATATACAAATCTGAAGTTAGATTTGATGAGAGAGTCTTATCAGCGCCCCCGAGACTGTCCTCCAACTGACTATGACGAAATGTTAGCATTTACTGGAATCCTTTATATGGCTGGCGTAAAGAAAGCCCAACACTTTAACACTGAAGAAATGTGGAAAACCGATGGTACAGCACCTGACTTCTTTATCGCTACTATGTCCAAAAAAAGGTTTCATCAGTTGATTCAATCTATTAGATTTGATGATGCCACCAAACGACATGAGAGTTCTAAAATTGATAATCTAACTCCGATTCGCCAATTTTTTGAAACATTCGTAACAAATTGTAAACAAGCTTATTCTCCGGGATTTTACCTAACAATTGACAAAATGTTGGAGGCATTTCGGGGCAGATGCCGATTTAGACAATACATAGCCAACAAGCCCGCCAAATACGGCATAAAGATGTATGGATTAGTAGACGCCAGAACATTTTTTACATCAAACCTTGAAATCTACGCGGGTAAACAACCTGAGGGACCATTTCAACTAAAAAATGACTCAGCGCGCGTTGTATTGCGACTTATAAAGCCAATTAGTGGTACAGGAAGAAATGTATCCACTGACAATTATTTAACCTCAGTGCCATTGGCTGATAGCTTATTAGTAAACCATCGACTAACTACAATAGGAACAATTCGCAAAAATAAACCTCAAATTCCTCGAGAACTTCTAGATGTGAAAAATAGACTAGTAAAAAGCAACATGTTTGCATATGGTGAAGACTTGGATGAAAACCTAAATAAATGCCTTCTTGTTTCATATGTACCAAAACGAAACAAGAACGTGCTGTTATTATCAACCTTGCATGATGATGGTAAGATCGACGATGACACTGGAGATGCTTTCAAGCCCGAAGTTATTACAGACTATAATCTTACAAAAGCAGGCGTAGATGTGGTCGACAAAATGAAATCTGAATGTTCAACAGCACGATTCAGCAATAGATGGCCATATACCGTATTCTGTGGGCTTCTGAATATATCAACCATCAACAGACAAATAATCTATCGATAGAATTCAAACAATACTATTACCAGAAGACAATTTATATCGGAACTTAGTAAACTGCTTGTCATGCCTCACCTGTATAGAAGTTCACAGAGTCCAAGTCTGCCTTATCTACTTAGTCAAAAGATTAGAAACATAACTGGAGAAATAGAGACCAAGCCACTCAAGCCAAAGTCAGATGTGAATATTCTGTCCATTGAGAAAAAACAGGTTCACTCAGAGAAATTGTTCAACCTGTAGATCACCGATATTCAAGGAACATACAGCAATAACTTCATTGACCTGTCGTGAATGCTATGGACGTAACGAGAATGTTTAAAGTGCGTAAGTGTTTTGTAAAGCATTTATGTAAACGCTTTCAATATATACCCCGCACTTATTTTTTTAGGGTTTGCTTCAGCTCTAGAGGATTCCAGAATGAAACATCAGAAGAAGAAACCTTCAGTTCAGAAATTTTAGATGAAGAATTTTAAGTGTTTCCTTAGTATTTTTGTTATAGCTTATAACAATAATTTTTCAATAATGTATAGCTTAATAGTATAAGTAATACTATACTTGACAATATAAACATTTAACTTAAGTAAAAATAGCTTTTTTATTGAATATCTGAATGTTAGATAAAATCTAGCACGCAAGCGATGGTGTAATAAAATGAGGTACAAGCGATGCCCAACTAACAATTATCAATCCTATTAGAGTTGCAAGAATGATTATACAGTATTCCTTAAACAGCATTGTATACTGTAAGAACATTGGCAAAACCCTCTTAGAACTGCTATACAAGCGGAATGGGCACTCCTAATAGGACACTTCAGTCATTTAAGAGGTTGTATAAGGGCTGCAGGTAACAGTTATACAACAAAAGTGTAAGCCTCTTGCAGCCGCAATAGGACATTTGCGTCAGCGCAAGATTCAGTTTTTGTCAACTATCCAACTATTCGGTTACGTGATTCTACTTTATTGCAACCAAACTATTTCTTATGTATTGTATAGACGAAGAAGAATATATAACTAACACATTACAGTCATCGTGTTTCCTTACATATCGGCCATTGTGAATTTCATACGCAGGTATATGATAAACTTCTACACTGTGATATAGGGCTATTAAATTACTTGCGCAGCAAATTTTATTGTGATTATCGTGCAAATTAATTACGCAATTTCTACGGGCTTCGTATTTGATTCATATTTTGATAATGATCAAAAGCATGTCTAGATTTTTAAGATGGAAAACTGAACTTATCTGCGATAAATCTTCCACAAATCCTATATTTAGACGCAATTACACTAATGTTTATCACTTTATATCTGTAATTTCGAACTGAAACATAATTATTTAATATTAAATGGAGGAATAAATGTTTGCCCAATATGGCGGGTGGTTGTGTATAATCATGGCATCGTCCATGTTGTCTTTAGGTTATTAGAATATTTTGGTGTTGCCTGCAGGTGTTATACTGAAATGAAATACCGACAGAGTCGAATGATTTACCCAGAATTTCTACTAGATCTATATCTTCTGTTTGAACAGTTGATAAAACATTTTGAACCAATATGCATGCGTTGTTTGTCTTAAAACATTGGTTATGGCATTTTAACAAAAATATGACAGCAGAAAATTAGGTTATGGTGAAGTTGCATACCAACATATTTAGCATATGTACAGCCTTTAACAGTTGTATAAGTGATTCCGTTGGGAGCAATTTGTTGGCCAAAGAAGTAAATTGCACAGCAAAACAACAAGGCTCGGGTTTGTTTTATATGGATGCCACAACACAACCATTTTGACTAACGTGCAAATATGCCGTATAAAATAGTTGTATAAACGTTTATGCAACAGTTAAAAATTTGCGCCATAAGGTGTTGTATAACTATGGTATAAGAATATTTTAAAGACCTCACTTTTGAGCAAATATGTTGCAGAAAGCAAATTTGCATTCCACACAACATTAAGCCAGCATTTTGGTGCTCAGGCAACAACAATAGAGAGCTTTTATGGCTGAACGGTTCCTTCACCAAAAGCTTATAACACTACTTTGCTAGTTGGGTGTAGGGTTTTAACAGAGCTGATTAGAAATCAACGCAAAAAATCTTAAATTCATTTTTTTGTAAGAAATTTCTTGAGGTTGTATTTCATTGTTCATTTTATTGTAAAAACTATTTCAGTCCATGTGGAACAACTCCTGAAACTTTCAGCTTGCTACGATGAGTGTAACATTCGTTGTTGTGATGCGATAAACGTAAGACACGCAATAGAATGCTTACCACATACAAGTACAGAACCTATTGTGTTTAGCCGCTCTTTATGGAGATTTACCGACAAATGTGGAAGATAATTTAATTCAACCAACTTTCAAAGAACATGTTCAAAATGGCCTCCATCATTTCCTATACACAAGCGACACCTTCTAATAAAATTGTCCTTTAGTCTTTGAAATGAATTTGCGTTTTCCATAATTTTTAGTTTTGCTTCATCAATTTTCTGGCACAGTTGGTTGACATTTGTATATTCAGATGTATAGATTATCTCCTTATAAAACCTCCATATAAAAAAATCTAGAAGATTTAAATCGGGTGACCTTGGAGGCCACCTCTACCTATCCAACGCCCTGGAAAAGCACTGTCTAAGTAATGCCGTACAACCCGTGCAACAGGGCATGGCGCACCATCACATTGAGAATACATGCGGCTTCAAACCTCCAAAGGTACATCCTCTAGCAGCTCATGCAAACTGAGTTGTAGAAAAGTAAGATATGACTGACCATTCAACCTGGCAGGCAGTTCATAATGGTCCAGTAAATTTTTTGTTGAGTACTCCAGACCATAAATTAACGCCGAACTGACGTTGAGATCTGTGTCGGCGAATAGCGTGTGGATTTTGCGCGTTCCATGAATGGACATTGTGCATGTTGAATATTCCATTTCGGTTAAAGTTGGATTCATCTGTCCGTAAGATGCTGTCGAAAAAAGTTTCATCCTCTTCGCACCTTCTCAACATATTCTCACAAAATTCAACCCGTTGTGTATAGTTGCTTGGAAGCAATTCTTGTACTTTTTGTATACGGTAAGGATGCATGTTCTCCGAGCGTAGTATTGTGTGCACTGAAGTATGGGATATGTTTCTGCTTCGTGTGATGGTTCTGATGCATATAGAGGGATCTCTCTGGGCTGCTTCTATTATATCTTATATTTCTTCTGGGCGTATCCTCGGCGCTCCTAGCTGATGATGAGTGCCTAGTAAGAGGCCCTCCATATACGCATTATGGGCGCTTAGAAAAACGCTCTAGTCGGGATATAATAATAATAATATTTATTACCCTCATTAAACAGTACAAACAAAGTTTACAAACAAAAAAATGCCTTAAGAGAATAAAGGGCTACATCAGCTTGCCCCTTAAAGAAGCAGCTGCTAGAGCAAAAAAAACAAACAAATTTAAACAATTCTATAGTAATACAAATGGCTATTAAGACATTGATGGTTAATAATGTTTTAATATCAAGAAATATAGCGACAGATAGTAAGTAGAGAAATGGTAATTTAGAGTGAGAAGAGAAAGCGAGGGGAAAGAGAAGAAGAGAAAAGGGGGAGCACGAGATGTGTTTTCTATGATATCTGAGACAGTAAATCACTTTTAAGGTTCCTCTTAAATGTAGCTACTGGGAAAAAATCTTTAATTTTGAATTTATTTACCAAAAAGGCAATTTGATATGAGAATCTTCTAATGTTTAGACTCTTTGTCTACCCCTTATGCCAAATATCAGTCTCAGACAAGAATTCTCAGCTTTTTGAACCCGTTTTAGTTCCACACTACCAAGAAATGGGCCATACATCATATCATCAAAGTTGAAGTAGGACCAACACTAATGCTTCGCAAAGCGAGGATTTAGTATTTTGTGATAGGTAATGTCTATGAGGGTAAATTATTTTTAACATTGAATATGCTTTTCTTAGGCAAAGAGTGATGTGCTCTCTAAACTTAAGTTTAGAGTCAACCACTAAGCCCAAATCCTTCACGGAATCCCTAAATGATATTATATTGTCCCCTAGTTTGAGCTTAATATTATTTTCTAATACGTTTCTGTAGGAATCACTACAATGCAATATAGCCGTCGATTTACTAGGGTTTTATTTTTAACAACTGATCTTCAGAGGTTTTGAGAAGGCTATTCAAGTCGGTATTCAGTCGGTTTGTTATAAGTCCTGACAGATCAGGTTTAAAGGAGGCATACATTTGAGTGTCGTCAGCATAAAGATGATATTGACAATAACTTAGCGATTTCATTAAATTACAAGTATATAGGCTATACAATAATGGACCCAAAATACTGCCATGGGGCACCCCTGATGTAATTGTAACTGTATCTGATATGTTCCCGTCCAAAGTCACGCGCTGCATCCTTTCAGATAAAAAAATAACTTATTAATGCATAGGCCGGCTGCTCTAATCCAATATATTTCAGAATAGCCACTAGTATCTCATGATTAATCATGTCAAATGCTTTCGTGTAGTCCAATAACACCAAGGCAGTAGCATTTCCTGCATCATGTCCTCTGGTGGCACCATCCACAAGATCTGTTAATGCTGTGGAACAACTGTACCCGGTTCTAAACCCTGACTGTCTAGGGGGGATGATATTGTTGGCAAAAACGTAGTTAGCAACTTGTATAGCGCTTGCCTTTTCCAAAAGTACAGCATATTAAATCGATCAAAGTAGAATTAATGTTTGATATTCGTGTTGGCTCAGACACCACTTGACTTAGGGAAAAGGTATTTAAAATATCATTTAATTGGGTGACATTTAAGAAATCGATATCCAATACATTTATGTTGAAATCGCCCAAACATACAATTTGGTTACACTCAGTACTGAGGTCAATCAAAATGTCTTGTAAATAATTTAGAAATTCCCTACAGTTAGAGCTAGGTAGTCTGTAAATAATCTCAACTATGAGTATTTCTTTTTCAAGCCGAATTTTAACCCAAATATGCACAATTATGCCCTTGCACCCACTCTTCAATATATTAAATTTTAGGTTAGATTTTAGATATATTCCAACACCACCGCCGCGGGTCACGCGGTCTTGCCTGACAAATTTGTAACCATTTAAGGAAGTAATATCACTGTCAATCTTAGAAGTTAACCAGCTCTCTGTAATGCCGACTATATGATGATTACTGTCAAAAACATCCTCTTTAAAACTGTCGAAATTATTTATGAGAGATCTGACATTAATGTGAGCACCGCCGGTTGTGGTCCAGCTCTTCTAACCACATACTCCCGATACATGCGAGCAGCTGTTCAATCATTTCCTAGGGCAGCACCATAATAGATTCCAAACGTTAGAGACATATTCCGCGCTGAACCATTGCCTAACTTAGTAATTGCGGTCGGAATGCCGAGTTGAATGCCCAAGCTCATTAGGCTGATTTGGCTTTTTGCGTAAGAAATCCGCCATTTTGATTTTACAAAATGTTGATACATACAGTATCACTCGCACTGCTAGGACGAATCTAACAGTACCTCATATGTCAAAATCCATCAAGTCGTTTGGACTGTAGCTC